GACATTGTTTTAACTTCCTCTATCCATCGAATTAAAACATGTTTAATTTAAACGTCAGAATCTAAAAATTTAAAAAAAAAAATTGTTATCTGAAAATATATGTATTCTTTTTAAGGGAATTTTTTACAGTTACTTGCAAGGAAGTCTGCAAATATAGCGCAGTCAGAACTCTATCGTGGAGCTATACAGTGCAGTTTTGAAAGACATAAACTGGAAGGTTTGTGGCAAACGTGCTGATTCGTTTGCGGTTGCGAAAGGAAATGGCTCACACATTGAACGCATTCTGCGCTAATAAGAGTTATTCAAGAGTCAAAACGCAGTTTGTTCGCCAGTGTTACGCAGAACAGCTCCAAAGACACGTTTACAGTCGTCGAAAAACTACGATTACTGAAACAATCAGAAATACAGCCTTCAGATTATAACGCCAAAGAAAGCTTCATGGCAAAGCACTAAAGTACAGCTCCCGACTCAGCCAATCGCTTTCAAGCTAATCTCTGAACTCACACTACTACTACACGTACAGGTAGGGTATATATAGCTTTAACCTACCTTCGATAATATTGTCGAGAAAATTGCTAGGAATGCGTTCTAGAATGTTCTGTCTCTGTCTATAGTATATCGCGAATTTTGTCACCAAATATTGCTAAATGAGCGATTTCGCCCCAAATCTGGAAACTCTGGCTTTCCTGCCATTTTCTGGCAACCCTAACATCGCTTTACGGGGAAGCTATATTTGTATGCAACCAATATTATTCTAATTCAGACTTAGTATCTAGGAGGTACTGATTTAAGGATATAATTTATAAGAAAATTAACCATTGAATTTTCTTGTTCTTGATAAATAGGATTAAAATATTTTATACTTTATTTATAGTTATAGGGAGATTCAGTTGAAGAAGTTTTAATTGAATAATTTTTCATACTCACTGCATTCTTTGCACGTAATACATTCGAAAACTATAATGGGAAAAAATTAAATATAAACTGATTTGCTCTTCATTTTATTAGACAAACTGTAGTCAGAGATCCTGCTGATACGTAAAACTACCATTATACCTAAAGAGACGGTCATATAAATAACAAGTTTATGTCTTAAGCTAATCAACAAAGTACACCTATTAATTCCCCTGAGTTTTGGTGATCTAGAATGGTATTATATGGTATCTAATAAAACTCAACATATGCTTTAAAGCTATTCTCATAAAATCTGTATTCCTAAATCCAGCAAAATATCATCATCTCTGTATGTTAACATCTTCTATAAGATCCTTTAAGGGTCTTGATAATTTTCCATTGGCATTTAAAATCTCACTGGATGTAACTTCCCCAGCAGAAATAACATTGTTACTAAGAAAGGATATAAACGTCAAACTTTGGTTTCAGAGAGAAATATTATTCAAAATTCATATCCAAGGAGAAAATGGGATCTTTTGAATGTCGCAAGAGTAAGAATTTTAATATAAAAGAAATCTTCGAAGTTAAAGGATAGTAGCTCAATCATTAAAATGCTCAATGTCAAAGTTCAGCAAAGTGATTAACGCTGATTTGAATCTTTTAAAGGCGCAAAAAGCGTAATCTGCATCACCTTTCTCCACGAAATATCGACAAAAGCAGAACACGACAACTGCAGAATTCTTTAACAGAAACAATTATTCGAACAAAAGTAGGAAAATATTGTGACAGTAGATGAATCTTGGATATATTTAAATAACCGCAATAAAATAGATCCATTTATTATCACCAAATAAAAGAAAAAAATCTTAGAACATAGTTAAAAGAATCTAAAGAAAGTTTTGCAAAGGGATCTGTGATTGTTGTTTTGATATAACGACAAATAAAATTTAAAAAAAGTGCAGAAAACTGTGAAGGTCAACACCATAGATTATCAGGAGCATATTTTATACCCAATTTTTCAAATATGATATACCTTCTCTTTACCCACAGTGCCATCAATCAGTAGCGCTGCATCAAGACAAAGCATCACGTCAAAATCCACTGCTAGTTTCTGTAAAAAATGGAGCAAGAAACGTGTATCAAGGCCATATCCTTCCCTCATTAATATTAAATCGTCTTGTATATCGTCTGGATATTTGTGCTGTTGAACTTTTAAAAAGTAGACCGTCCAGACGTCCACCTATAACCCTCCATGGACTTTGGAGAGTTATTCAAGACGAATGGGATAAATAAACTCTTCCGATACTACAAAAGACTTTGTTGTCTTCAAAATTGCGGCGTAGAAAGATACTCAAGAATAAGGGTTATCAAATGGAATATTTAAAGCACAAAAACTTTAGGCAAAATACTTCTGTAAATACAATGAAAATTGTCTAACAAATGTGCGAAAAATGTCCCTTTAAATCCATTTTACAATATGTTTTAGAACAAAGAGTCTTTTATTCTGTCTACAGATGTCATAAAAAATTTATCCAAATGGATTCGGTAATAGTCAAAAGGGATATTTTCTTTAAAATATGATACCTGAAATTTTCGCGATTACAATGTAGAATTATTCAGATTTTTTTGAAGCAGGAAAGATGAAAAATGAGCAAACGCCTTCGCCGGGAATCGAACCACGGATCTCTGGAATACGCGCCTTGAGAAAGAAAAACTGTTGCCATGAGTACCATAGGGACTGATTTGTAGGGATGTGTTCTGTGGGTGGTGGTCACTGACATTAACCACCAGAAGTGGTCACTTTTTTCACGCGTCTTGGACAAATATGTGTAATTGTCACAAATAATTTCATTGTAACATCTGATATAGTAGATAAAACAAGAGTTTTGCTGAAACAGTTAATTGCAATTTCCCGCCCTTCAAAGAGTTAAAATCTCTTTGTACGAGAGTGGTTTTCAACGTCGAAGTCCTTAACCGTTAGATTGGTCATAATGGTTAAGAAAACAGAGCTCTAGCTCTTTTCGCTGACCTCCACGTTCACCTGGTCTAAAGCCTAGAATTTTTCCTTTGGGGCTTTATAAAGATCGTGTCTATGTTTCGCGGCTACCTGATGATTTGCTAGAGTTGAGACATAGAAGTGAAAAGGTTATTTCTTCCATTCCTTTGGATTTGTTACTCAAAGTGTGGAAAGAATTGGACTATAGGTTGGATGTATACCGTATAAATAAAGGTGCACATATTGAACGTTTGCATAAAAAACTAGGTCAGTTTACCTTCAGTTCGATGAAACATTTGTTGTAAATAGTCTTAATTGAACTCTTATAATATACCATTAAAAACCTGGACATTCGTTTATGGATACCCTGTATTATCAAAGAATTATCGAATAATTTTTTAACTGAAGTAAAGTGGCCAAATAAAGTCAAATAGATTATAAAAATTAACAAGTATCAGAAAAAGCCGCCAATTAAGGGATTATGTCACCCAACAGCTTGTTTTCGATTTTAGTCAGCCACTGAAAATTAGGCAAGAAGGCAACTTTAGTCTGGCTTAGATTTCAATTAATTCTTCCAATTTTGAGGATGATCAGGCACAGATCTGCCTTCTTAAGGAGGGGTAAAATATGAAAGCTTTCAGATTTCATATTACGCCCAAAATGGCATTTTTTTACGTTTTGTTTGTTGCCTTTACTTATTAAATATCACGTTCTTCGCACTTAAATCATAAAATTCAATCCAACAGCAATATCACAAAATAATTTCAAATTGAGCATATCTTTAGAATTTCCAATACTCAGTCTCGTGCGCTGGATATAAAAATGTTTCTTTTCCACACAGTGTTGCCATTGCTGGCTTTGAAATTGTTGGGTTTCTTGACCAAAATCCCATAAACGCTTTACAAATTATGAAATAGATAATAAAACAAATTCCATATTCAAAATTTGTGCTTCCAGATACCATATTCGGGTGGAGACGTACGTTGTTTAAAAATTGATGGCTCTATGTACCGTTGTTTTATCACAATGCGAGAAACATAAATACATTTATGCATATTCTTCATTATTTAATTTTTTAAATAAAATACAGGGCTCTTATATTTGGTGGTAACAACTACAAAAGTCATTCACCGTTTATAGTAAATCGACGGAAAATGCCAAACCCTTTTGAGCTAACGCTTTTTTGGGCTAAAAGTTTTGCAGGTTTTTCTTCCCTTCAGATCCTTAAAATAACACTGAAACATCTACTCTAAAATAAGGTATTAAGAGCGGCCTCCCGTGTATTAAGATTAGAGATATAGCATCGATCAGATAGTTTCTAGAAATGTTATGAATAATTTATAAATTAACTATTGCGTTTGTGACATCAACGGTTCATTATAGTTTTGCATTTTCCTCATTAGAATTCTGTAAAAGTACTTATTTATGAGTTACTAGTTATATTTGTATTAAATTAGCCAAATTCCATTGCTATTTTGAAGGATATTTTCTCGTCGCTTAATATTACCTGCCCGTTAAGGTTATCAAAATAACAGGAAACAAAAGTGGCCACATTTATGACCAGTTTCAGCAGTTTAAAAATGATTTTTTGGCTAATTTTTAAATTTTGTATTGGCGTGTTTCTGTTTTCTAAACGTTTTCCAAAATACTTCAAAAAAGGATATTATATAGCTAATAATACAGAGCATTTCCTTCCGCCTCCCCTCTGTGAATTGTTTAAAATCTTAAAATGGCAATAAAAACTTCATTTTGACTATGATGTATTTCTCAATTTTTGTTTCTTAACTTCTTAGTTGTTTATAAAATAAAAATATCATGCATAAGTATTTTGAAAAGTGTTTGACTGCTGCAGATGCAAATTTGTTAGCATGTATGTTTAAAAGCAAATTTCAAAATAAATCCTATGCTAAAAGAAAAATATTTGTTTACTTTATGACAAGTTATTTATCTTATCCCTCATAAAAACTTAAATAATCAAAAGCAACGGTGTTCTCATGAATTCATCATGTCTTTGTTAAGTATGTTTATTTTATAATGTTGCCAAAAAGTGTTCTGTAATATATTCTTAAGTGACTGCGAATATAAAAATTTTCTTCTCTCGTTTTACCAGGTTGTCATGACAACTAAAGCTGTGACAGACGTTGGAGCCGTTGCCATGCGCAGGGAAGCAAATACAAGCAGGTAAGGTTTTGGTTTCCAAATAAAGTTCTGCACACTTCAGAAAATCTAATTTAGGCAGGGCTAAATCTCACACTTGAGGGCGTAAAAGCGAAAATGGCGGAAGAAATAAGTGCCAACTGACGCAATAGATGTGGAACGTTGATAAAGTTATAACGTCCGAAAGATTGACCGCTAATGGAAAGCGAGAAACGCACTTCGATTAATGTGCAGTGTCGATGTCTTGCCGACGCATAATGCACTCAAGCCTTTTCGAATTACCTTCTTAAATTATACAGTGATAGAATTACTTCATTTCAGCTGGCAATGCTTGTGCCACCTTATCGAAAGTTCCAGTACGCTAATTAAAGCAAAGCTGAAGAACTTCTTTGAGATGCATTACACTTTTATGAGCATTAGAACTTCGATTTAAGTATCTGACAGTGTAAACTCTTTATAAAATATTATAATATTCTCGTTTACGAACTTTCATTATGTATTTTTCATTACAGATGAATACGGTATTCTCTTCCCTTTCGTTACTAGTTTTATCGTCCGAAAATTGAGAGAATGATCCGAATAATTTAATTTTCAAAGTGCGCGGTTATAGTTAGAGCATAACAAATAAAAAGTAATCGTGGATAAATTACAGGTAACTATCATAATAGTATTTCTTTAAAAGAAACCTACATTCCAGTAAGAATACACAGAATTATTAGCATTGTAATATCTAATGAGGTATCTTCATTTGTACTTCTCTGAAATCTCGCCAGCTATTACTGTTATCGCTGCTACATCTTAGGCCGGCCCCAAATTATCCACACATAGTTAAGAGAAGGTGAATGGTCAGCTAAATCGGCGAAATCACAGACTGAATATCAGTTTGTGTTTGCTTCGCTGTAGTTTGAGAGAGTTTGCCTTTTATTAGTAAGACAAGACTTTATTACTACGTGGGCGAATCCATTTTAAAATTTAAGAAAGCTCGTTCTCTGAATGCACTGAGGAAAGGAGAAATTAAGACTTTTTTTTTAATTTTATTTTCGGAATCTGCCTCATCCTTTAAATTTTCAGAACCTAAATTTTGAGAACCTGAGAAAGACTAGAGGAAAAATTAGAGAGGGAGGGAAATGCTCGAGAAAATACGATATATGAATAACGGAATTCTGTAATTAGAAAATTTAAAGTTTATTTGCTATATCATTTAACTGCAGAAAAGCACAGTAACATTTTTCTGAAAGTATATTGTATATTGTCGAACTCGCCAATAGAGAACTCGCCGAACTGGAGATTAAGGAAGCTGTTTTTCTCGTCGATACCAAATCTAGGAGCTGGGTATGAAAATGAGAGTCAGATAGCATTATAATGACTTTTTTTAGGTTTATTATAAATAGTTTTTTTTATAAATTATAAATGTATTTTAGCAAGAGAATAAGGGTTTCATGCCTTTAACTTCGCAATCATGATTTTCGTAATAGTGGTATTGCAAACATTGTACAATGAAAAGCGAAAGGGTCTAACTCATGGTTTAGGCTAACTTAAACTCACTGATACTGTTCAAGTTCTCTTATAAATATACTTCTTTAATGCCAGTTTTAACTTAACTACTTCATAATTAGGATGTTTATTTTTAAAATTTTTAAAGTACGTGCTTTTTGTTTCGAATGCTGATTTAATTTACGCAATCAAATGAATTTATAGGATGTTTCTATTAATTAAATCATGCTTTATTCTTCTTTCCTGGATTTATTGAAGTATCCTTGGATTAATTATAATTCTTAATTAACTGTGGATGACGTCGCCTGTATTACGCCTTTGATTGGGAGTTTACTGGACAGAATAAAAGTAACTTAAGTTAATAATCTCTGCAAATTTTAGACTAAAGGTAGGAAACATCTGGTTTTCTTCTTATTATAGATATTAAAATATTTGACTAAATTCATAATATGTGAGAAGTCTTTCCAATTAATTAAATACATGCATTAAACACCCACCCCTCAAATTTTATTTTTCAGTTATGATGTGGGTTATCATCTTTAGTTTAAAATGATTGTAAAAACAACAAACACACAAGAATAGTGAAATCTTTACTTTATCCCACTATTTGTGAGTTGTTGTTGAGTCATCTTGTGATATCACACTAGCCGCGTGGAGTTACGCTGCAGTTCACGGGTGGCGGGAGGCTTAGTCAGGGGAATATTTCTAAACGTTTGCTACATGGTCCTTCTGCAACAACTGGAACGTCGAAAGTGAACTCCCCGCATGGTGCTAAGGATACTTCTGGATAAAAAAATCTCCCTGAAATTTTAATACAATCTGCTATAACTGCTGTTAACAAACGAATTTTTCTTTCCGTTTTTGGATTTTCCATAAACAAGTTTGTTTTATTTCGAGAAACACTTTTCGAACAGCTGCAAAGCAAGAGTTCGCATTTTTGAAGTTAATTTTTTTTGTCTTGAGTGTTATTACATTGGCTACTATGTAAGAATTTACTCCTGCGTTTCAGCGTGCCTTTGTTATGTAACTAGAAACACGTACGTCTTGCATTTGAAAAGTTCCAGAACTCGAATCTCGGAAAGTGCATTGCTGGTTTTCGTGTTTGCGCACTGACAAGTAACTGATGACTCTAAAATTAAGCATGTACATAGCCTCTTGAAAATATATAGTTTATCTGCGTGAAATTTGCAAGCGAAGAAACAAAATGATTTGTTTCTAACGCAATAAAACGTAAGAATGCTTTGCTAATTGGAATTTCTACCCGTGGGAGCTATAAAAATTATTTAAAAAAGATTTAAATTTAAATTCTATTTTTTAAAACACTCTCATCATAGACTGTTCAGACGGTTTTCATAAAGTTCTGCAGTTATTTAAAGAAAACTCTTCAGCTAGAACTCTTCCCCAGTCTGAAAATACTCAGGTTACTTAAAAAACCTTTAGCACGAAATGATTTCTTCTATAAAGCTAAAAGACCTTCGATTAGCTTACAGTTTTTATAAACGTTCTGGGACTGTATGGTTTTAGATTAATTTTCCATTTTGAAATTTCGTGTTCCATTTTAAAATTCCTAATGCACATATAGTATTAATGAAGACTGCAGATTTTCAGTTCATAGTTATGATACTACATTAAACTTGAAGCTTTTGAGTATCACAAAAATTACTTTTCACTATACCTGACTCCTAACAGGTATCAAAAGAATTTCTTGTCACGTGAAGAAGTGCAGTATAATTTGTAAGGTTCTTAAGTTAAACTACCTAACTATTATGATTTTGATCTTTATTTTAACTTTTTGCGTATTCCTAACCAGAATGCTTGTAGTGTATTTAAGCTGAGGGTTTTGAATCTTGCGTGCGAGAGAGAGTTTTCTGGGTTTCATTTAGCGTTGTTAGAATTCTGACAATTCTAGCTAAATTTCTTATCTCGGCTTTACTTTCTCTCGTAAACTGATGCTTTAAATCTTTCGCAAGATACAGGCCAAAATTTGTTCCTCTCAAATATCTGAAAGCGCCGCATATAGGAATTTTTGTTCGACTATATTTAATTCCCCCAACTTACTTAAGTGAAGCGATTACTTCTCTCTTCGGGATCTTTGTGCTGTTTCTCCCACTGTATACAGTTTCTCGTTAGGACAGGATTTCGACTCGCAGCATCAATAACTGAAAGAGGAAGAGACAAGGTGCATTCAAATAAGGGAGCTACTTTGGGTCGCTTATGATTGTCATGTCAATAAACAAGTTCCGAAACCAATGATTCACGTAATAACGTAATGGCAAAAATCGTGAGGTAGAAAATGGACGCAGGAGTTCGGCCAGACCTGCCAATTTCTCAATGCAAGGACTTTTCGAGCAACTTTAATGTAAAAGTGTTAAACTTACTTGCCGGTAAATTAATTTGGGCCACTTCGTAGCTCAGTTATTTAACTTTGTAGTTTTAGACCACCGATTAACTTAAATTCACTTGACTGTTATTAATTTCCTTTGCATCGCCACAAGTGGTGGTTATTTGTAGCACGAGCCGTGGGCTGTATTTTTTTAAAGTTCAGTTTGATGAAAAGGTGTTTAAACTTTTGAAAGTCTCTGTTATACTATTTCAGACATAGCGATAATGCTGCTTATCTAGTAGGATTGTAGGACTAAAAGTTCAAGTATCAGGTTAAGTACATTGCGATTTAAAAAAAAAAAAAAAATAGAGGAGGGGGACAATTTTATATCTCCCGTTCTACTAGGCCGATTGACAAAATTCAAATTGCGTTTTTCACGTCTCGAAAGCACGACTTAAGATATATATTAGATTTATATATAGCATTGTTCTAACATTGGTATTTTGACACAAAATCGGACTTTTTCTGAAATAACATATATATTTTTTTCAATATTTCGATTCTACGACTTAAATAATGCCTAAATATTAAATTTTGGTAACCACTCTTATATGCGCCCTCAGGTCGCCAAATTTATCGCCAAAAATTTTTGGAGAGAAACCCCACGGTGCCATACTACTATCTAAATGTTTTGTCTACATTTGGAACTTTAAGCCTAAAATGTATCCAAAAACGCGGTTTTCGCACATGCAAAAATCACGTTTTGAACACACAATTTAAGCTAAAGTTCGGAAACAAATAAATAAATAAATAAATAAAAAATTTTAAAAAAATAAATAAATAAAATAAAGATAGCAAAAACGTAAAGTTTCTAACCAAAAATATTTGACAAGGACTCATGTACAGAGCGATATGTTTTAACTTAAAAAAACATCTACGAATTGCACAATCTAGGCAACGAAAGAATCTACGAACTACGCGCACCACTACGCACACCACTCTTTGATAAATTAACATATCAACAATAAATTTCAAAAAATACCTTGTACACAGCGTTCTGTTTCAACTTGAAAAAAAATCTACAAATTTCAGAATCTAGGCAGCAAAAGAATCTACGAACTACGCACACCTCGCTTTAATAAATTAACATAACAACAATAAATTTCAAAGAATACCATGTACACAGCGTTCTGTTTCAACTTTAAAA